CCCCCCCCCCTTTTTTTTTTGCTGGGGTCTAACAAGAATCCCCAAATTTTGCTGCATGTTCTTTGCATAGGTACAAAATAGTGGAATATTGATACTTAACTGAGTTAAACTTTCAGGTGACTATGGCTTGAGTTTACCTCTTGGAGAAGAATATGAACGAAAAAAGCATAAACTAAAAGAAGAACTTCGACAAGATTATAGGCGATATCTTTCTCAGGTAAAGCTTCTTGTCTGGTTGCCTGAGTTGGAGTCACCTAAATGACTCTTAATCAGATGGAAAAAAAAACAAATTGTGACAAGTCGTAAGGGGTTCACTGTGAGCTGTGGCTAAGCATTGTGAGCTGTGACTAAAGACTCCTCAAGTAAAGCTAATTTCAAAATGTCATTCTTAGGAAAGTCTGTATTTCAGGTTTTCTGCAGATCTCAGTCACCTGACCTTACATATTACTTACTATATGTTATTTTGAATATTTTTATTTCCTTTTTTTTGCTTATTTTCTTGTTAAGAATATAAAATATCATCTCTCCCTTAGGTACTTATGTTTTCTACAGTCTGTCATTCAGATAATAATATTCCTCTGACTCAATTTGCCAGTTCTTGTGCAGTTTCAGATGTAAAATAACTTTGCTCTAGTGCTTAGCATAAAGTATTCAGAGCCACAGTAGTGATTTAAAGTTGTATGCATTAAATCTCATAATTTTGAGAATCCTTTCTTAGGAATCCTTTCTGAATTTATCTGATTTTAAAGTCAAATTAGAAAAAATGGGAAGCAAATTTCTGTTGTTTGAAAATGTCCACTATTTATGCTATTAGTGCTCAAAGTAAAAGAATGAACTGGCTTTAAGAAAGACTCTTTAAGTCAAATATTTCTGAATGAAACATTCATTATGAATAGTATCTTTTCCCTGACTTTTAGGGTATTTCACAGGCAAAAAGAAAGGTAGGGTGCCTGCAATATGCTTTTTTGTTGTTAAAATTAGTAGCTTTTTGCTTTGTTTGAAAGCTTTGTGCTGTTTGTATAAAGATCATTACATTTTTATGCTTGTGCATGCTGTAGTGATTAGTTGTGATTAATGCCATTATGATGCTTTGTGCAAAATGATTGCTTGTATTTATTGTTTTCCATTAATATGATTTTAAACTCATTGATTTCTCTTTTCCTTTGTATTTATTATTACTGTCTATTGCTGACTACACAAAAGTTTGTTTCTTTTAGTAGGCATTTGCTGCAAAGCATATCAGTTTTCATCAGTTACATTAGGTGGATACTGTGAGTTCAGATTTTTCTTTTTTTTATTTATTTAGTAATTTCATAGTCTGGAATAGAGCAGTAATGTCTGAAGTATTATAAACCCCTTGGGGGAGCATTGAGGGCTTTTTCCTTCCCTATCATTGTGAAATATCTTCAGTGCTTAGGAAAGCTATGGAGCCAGTTATGCAATAACATATGGCCCAGAATGCCAGAATAAAAGTATTTAGGGAGAAATAATACCAGAGGCCCATATTTGTTAGCTTCTTTGTTGCAATAAGTCTGTTAATTACTCATATCATTAAACAGTAATGTTTGTTTAATTTTCAAATTTAATGGTGTCCATATGGGTCTTTAAAATTAAGCAGCTTTAACAAAGAACTCGTAGGTAGCGTGGTAGGGGGAAAAAAAACCCTATTCTTTTGAGGGACTGTAAATGAGATACGTATGGGCACTGTGTATATGAACATGCACTTTCTGAATAACTTGCACTTTCTGAATAACAATAGCAATGGTGGCTGGCTGCTTAACTTATGATCACAAATAATGCTTATGTAATTGTTGCTTTTTGTTAATTTGAAAATTCAGTTTTATTTTCCAGCTTAGAAAATGGTAAAATGTGGTTTATTAATCTCTTCAGAGTACCAAGTAATCTCACTTTTACACAAGGTGTTTTATTCTTAAGTGAACTTTAAGTTTTGCAGATTTAGTTTATGATCTATTTCTGTGTAATGCATTCTACCTATATTAAACTTGTAGAAACGGAGGATGAGATAAACAATCCCTAAGTTTTTTCCTGAGCAAGGAGATAGTACAATAGCCAACAACTCTCTTAAGTTACTAACCAACAAATTATCACTTATTTAGTTATGCTTATGTAGAAAATGCAATTTCTTAATCAATTCCTGATTTTTGGCAAATGATGTTTTCAATCTCAAGCTTATGTAGAAAATGCAATTTCTTAATTCCTGATTTTTGGCAAATGATCTTTTCAATCTCAAGTCTTCCCTAGAGACATGTTCAAAGTGAGACAAAAACTAAATGAGTATCACTTACTCTTTCTGGTGAACATAACTCAGTTTTCCATCTTAATTTGGTGGTCTTGCTATTTGAATATCTACACAATTGCTAAGTCCTTCAATCTTTTAACTTGTAGATCCGAAATACAATTTGTAATGATGTGGACACACAGGCAAAGCACTTGGCTGTTTACCTGCCTCATCTTTTTAACCTACAGCTGCATAGCAGGATGGGTGATGGAAGGAAGAAACATTAGTGAAAATACCATTTCTCTTCCTCCCATCATCACCCTTTCCCACACAAACACATGATCTTTTACTGAAGCTGATGGGTTTTATAAGTCCATGTCTGACTGAGAAGAACCTCAGGATGAAATGAGTGATGTGTAAAGAAGCCACTAGACTTTGAATATCTACTTCTGTTCCAGCACTGGCCTTTGGTTTGAAAGGCTGCTGTTTTGGCTTGCTTTACACAGGGGCCCAAGATTTGACAGCAATATAGATAATGTTTTCTATAGTCTTCTATAGTATAGTTTGGGATTTTGTTATAAAATTAGTTTGTGCTCCATAAAGCGTTGCAAGGTCTTGTGGTAGGTCATTATCCTGGAAAATTTGAGGTTTGCTTTTGTGGAGAACAGACACAGGTTGTATTGATACGTGGAGGCAGGTAATGCTAGTATTAGCCTGGATTCCCTTCCTTAAAATAAGGGATACAGCTGTGCTTTCTGTACTGGACAAAGCAATCTTTTAAGTCTTAATCTTAAGTAAGGTAATGTCTTGTAAAATGTCTCTGCTTCTAGTTTTGTAGAAAGATTGAGATTTTTTTTTTTATAAAGGTCTCTTTAATTTACTCAGTCTTTAAAATAGTACAGACAGAAAGAAGCATGACAAATGATGTCAAACACAAGCTGAAAGGTTGAGATTAATTAAGCCCTTTAGCTTTGTTTTTTCATTGTTTTCACTTCATTTGTATGTTCCAAGAACATCCCATTTGTTCAGAATGTGAAGGTTGTCTCAGTCCTTATTTCATTAAAGTAAATTGTCCGGCCTTGTTTCAGACCAAATCATTCCTAGCACCTATTTAGCAAGTGAGATTTGGTGTGTTGAAAATACATTGAATGATTCCATTTTTTTTTTCCTTAATATAGAAAAATTACTTGACTACTGGTGAAGTAGATCCATATACTCAGGGATTATCTCTTCCTATTGATGAGCGGAGGTCTGCCAAGGTAAGTGTCTGGAGGAGATTCAGTAAGTGGAAGATAAGTTGAAAGTGAATCCTGATCATTTTCTGGAACAATGCTTTCTAGCTGAAGATTTTTATTTTTGTTTAAACTACTTGCAAATGAACATTTCTGGAGGTGGTCATTGCAATAATTTTCAAATAAATACTTCTCGGTCTGTTGTTAATTTTTTAATATGTTGCCTGTGCTTTCATAATAAACTTTCACTTTCAAGATGTGTAATTTTAGGCTGTTATCAACTTGAGGTTTGTGAATTCTAATTGAGATCTAGACAATATCTGCTATGCCCAAAAGCATTGTGCTAATTTTTTGTCCTGTTGCACCTCACCTACTGACCCATGAACATGCGTTGCTTTGCTTTGCAAGTCTCGTTTTCCTTAAAATTATTTTTTTCATTTATTACTTTCTTCTCTAGCCTGAGGATAAGATTGATTCTAAAATGATGTTCTTGTATTTGTTTCTGGTAATATTCCTCTGGTGATTTTTCTGTCCATTGATTCACAGCTCAAAGCAGTGTGCTTTCTGCTGTGCACAATCTGTTTTGATTTCCTCTTGTGTTTGTGTAACCAAATTGGATATCCTCATGGGATTTTTGAACCAATATGCCTCTATCTAAATAAAGGCTGATCAGGTAATTCACATATTGCTTACTGTAATATAGGTTATAAAACTTCGCAAATTCTAATCTCACTTTCGAGATTTAGCTAGTAATGTGTTCCGTGAGGAGTGCATGCTGTCTCTCTGCATTTTGATCTCACTGAAGTTTCTTATCAATTTATGGTATTGATTTCATATGGTGGAGAGTTACCAGCCAGCCTCTCTAGTGTTTGACCTGAGTAGAGGTTAACTGGGAAGATGCAACATGGATTGCTCCACTCTGTTGGCACCTACACTGCTGGCCTCTTATTCTTGCTTTTTCTTGTGCTTTCTTGCAAATTGAATCAGGAACCTGAGTCAGCAGAAGCATCAAAACATATATATATATATTTTCTTTTTTTCTTCTCTGACTCGGTTATCACCATTGGTTCTTTGTAAGATCAGGTGAACTCCGCGTGAGGAGACGTGGATGTGAGGGCGAAAGTGGAACTGTGCTCCTGAAGGAGGAATGAGCTTTTGAACTCTGGGTTTATGGGCATAGATTTCTTTGGAATTGCCTTCTTATGCTATGCTTGGGGCTACAGAGTCACTGTAATCTGGCATGGGACTTCTGCTGTGGAAAATGTGGCTCCTGCTCTTGCTATGTTTGCTTCATCTTCCCGCTTCTTTTGCGCAGGCAGTAAGGTTTGGCTGTATGATAAACCAGGCCAGAGCTGAAGTGAATAAAATACTAATGTTACAGAAAATTATACTAATGTTACAATAAGGGAGGCAGCAAGAATTAATGTCCAGGAAAGGGTAGGGAGTCTCTTTCAGTGGTAGCTCTCATTTATGCTTAGTTGAAATAGATCTTTACATTCAAACGTTCCTGAGCTTTGCATTATCATTTGTTGATACATGTGCTGAAGCAATGAAGGATAAGGTATTTTTGATTAGTCTGTGGAAAGCAAAGAAATACTGCAGAGGTGTCTGTTTCAGGGTTTATATCATAACAGTTCAACATTCAGTAGCGATTTTCTATTAAGAAGAGTGCATTGTAATCTCTAGTCATTTAGTTATTACCACTGTAGAAACTAAAAGCGGCCAGAAGATGTCACACTGTGCACTCCTAAACTGTGTTCAGCCTCTGGGTAGATAACGGCAAAGGTGCTAATATCTGAATTTTTGTTCCCTCTGCAAGGTGGAGTGTGCTGAATGTTAAGTCACGCAGCATGTTGAATCTTTTGTAGAGCATTTGTGAGCTTTTAGCCTGCTAGAGATGTTGCTAGGTTCTCGGTTGAAGAAAACACCTCTTGGGCAGTTCTCATAGATATCTGCAGGTTTTATATTGTCACTGTTAGAAACTATATAGACACAAGATTGAAAAAAAAAAAAATCAAATTTTGGGAATCATTGGTGTTCCTTGTAAAACTGTCATTTAAGCTGGTATTTCCATGGTGATAGCTCTCTGAAGAAATTGAGGTGTAAACTCAATTTGTTTGAAATTTGTTTATGGGGATGTAAGCATATATATATATATATATAAATCAGATTTTTATATAGCTCTTCTTTGTGTATAAATACAGAAGGTACTGCAGTGAAGAAGAGGGCAATTCATAAAATTGCAATACTTTTTATACAATGACTGTACAAATTGGAATTAGGTACTATAAGAGATTATATGAAAGTTTCTCTGAGTAGTATCAAGAAAAAATGGGCAGTAGTGTTTGTTTGATCTGGAGACTTTCATATTTCATATTGCATTTTTAAGTTACTGAAGTATGTTCCTGCTTATATTAAGATCTGAGCAAGCTGTTAAGTGTCACCTTGCAGAAGCAGCTAATAATTCTTAGGCAGGGAGAAGAGATTATTTGTGGAAAGCAAAGGAAAAGATTCTTTGCAATTTTGCCTTTTTTGCAGTCAGTTTAACTGCTAGCTCAAATTTGACAGTTAAGCACATCTTGCCTGCAAATGTGTGTCTAAACATATATATGTATGTTGTCCTGTTTTATTGTGTGGAAATTCAAAACTAAATATAAAAACAGTGTATTTTTTAAATCAGCTGTAAAGACATTAGATTGGAAATTAGAAAGAGGTTCGTAATCCTCAAAGGACTGAGGTTTTGGAACAACTTTGTAATAAGCAGGAGGAAACCTAACTTGCAAGCTGGCTTGTGAGTTGGAACTTGATGTTCAGTAGCGTGATATGGCTATCAAGGACTAAACTTTGTGCCCAAGAAGTTGCCTTCCACTTATACATTTCCAATTAAGAGAAAATACTACAGTCCAATAATGAACAAAAAAGCCCAAACCAATTCAAGCCCTGCATGTGCATCATAAAGAAGGGGGTGGGAAAATGCACAGCTAGATGGTGCTCGCTTAAAAAGGTAGTTCTATGGGGTGAAAAGCTACTCTGCAAAAATGCAAAATTATGATAAACTTTTCAATGCCTGTTTTAGGAGAAGCTACGGCTTGAAAGGAACAAGGAGTACAATCAATATCTCAGGGATAAAGAAGAATGGAATGAAAGGCTAAGGAAATTAGGGAAGAAAAACACAGAGGTAATACAGATACTGATGTATTACAAGAGAGAATGTAAATGAACTTTACTGGAAATTCTGTCACTGTCAATTGTTTTATCATTGACTAAGACACAAAGCAAGACAAAAGAAGCAAGGAATGCAGTTTAATTAGGCACTGATTCTGTGAATATATCTGGGAAGGGCTGGCTGGGAGTCATATGGTACAGTTCTGATTCCTGCTTTAGTCATCTCTATCTGGCAGAAGGATGTTTTTGTTCTCCTGTGTCTCTTCTTTTGTGTCAATTCTCCAGATTCTTTGTGGTGATGAAAATAGTGACCAGGAAAGCTGTCTCTTTGTTGGACAGAACATTAAGCCCGGTTAGGTGTAGCTGTTCCCTTTCCCACTGCTGGCTGGAGATTTTTACTCCTGTTAAGCTGTAAGCAGGTGCACTTTCAGCAGAGAGCTGTTCTTGTAAATGAGATGAGTGTCTGCACCCTGTGCCCGGCTGCTTGCCAGCATTGAGGCTTTCACCTGCAGCTCTACTGGGTGAGCTGTCTCCCCTTAGCTCACTATTCTCAAATTGCATTTAAATAATTCAAACAGCACATTCTACTAAACAGATTTATTCTGACTCAAATAGATGAGGAGGTACTTGCACAAGCATCTTGGCCTATGCATTTTAGAGAAAGGTATTTTGCAGTAGAAGTGGCAGGTTGCTAGAAGCTTCTTTAGCATTCAGTCTTGGATCTAGAAGTGCTGCATTGCCTAAGACTCTCTAGAATAACAGGAAATAAAATGCAGATTTTGTTATTAAAACATTTCGGTACACTTGGAACACATTAAAAACAAATTATTCCAAGAGACATATGCATTCTGCAAGATGTAGGAAGCTGAAGCATTACTTCTTACCTCCTGGCACAATCACAGCTAATCTCAGGAGCCCGACTTTGGTGTTTTGTTAGTTACAGTTCTCCGCTTTCTGGAAATCCTTCCTCAGAAGGATGCAGGTGGCCTGATCTTACCTTGAACATTGTTTTGCACTAGTCTGTTCCTCCAGGTCTTTTGTCATTTGAAAATGATGACAAATACTTCCTCTATTCTGTCTGAATGCCATGAACCTACTGATTTATAAAGGGCAGTAACAGTCAACAGAAAATGATTAGCTCTAAGTCTCAAAAGTATTTGCAAAAACTATTCTCAAAGTATTTGCGCTATATGAGACCGTTTGATATAGTAATCTGGACAGAAAAATCAGCTGCGAAGGTTTCTCTATTGTTTTTTAATTTAAAAGAACTGTACAGAATGGGTATGTTGCTTACCTGATCAGTGTCTATAAATACCTCAAGGGAGGCAGTGAGGAGGACTATGCAGGACTATGCTGGCTGGCAGTGATTCTTCCTTTAGCTAGAAAAACAATCTCTGTTTACTGTATAAGTTCATATTACCTGCATAAATGTGGGCCGTAAGTCTTTAAGATTTATCTACAATTGAGGTATTCACGTTTCCTCACCTGACTTACATAATCAAACACATCCAGGGAGTGAAGTATAGAGGTTATGGAGTTTTTCTGTTTGTTTTGGCTTGTGTGTGTGTGTGTGGTGGTAGGGTGGTGAGTGGTGTGTGTGTTTGGTTTTTTTTTTGGTTGTCATCCTGTCAAATATTTATTCTTCTGTGGAAACAATTTTACTGTCAAAAAAAAACTTTTTTTTTTTTTTTTAAAAAGTGCTTGTTCAAATGATTTTTCCATCTAACAAATGGAAGGTGTGTGACTAGGACTCAAAATCAAATGACCATGTCTTATGCTTAGTGGAGGTTACCTTGGAAGTTTTGTCCAACAGTTCAGGAAAAATGGATGAATGGAGGTTGCAAAGGATCTCTGGAAGTTGCGTAGTTTAACCCCCTGCTCAGAACAGGCTTAACTTCAAAATTATGTCAAATTGGTCAGGACTTGCTCCACTTGAGTTTGCATACGGGTAAGGATGGAGATTCCAGAGTTTATCTGGGCAAGGTGTTTTGCTCCTTAGTCACTCTCACTGTGAACTTTTTTCCCCATGATACTGAATTCAGATTTGCTTTGCTGTGACTTTTGACCATTGCTGCTTAGAAAAGGATAGCTCTGGCGTCTCTGTAACTGCCCCTTAGTCATTTAGAGACCACAATTAGTAGAATTTGTCCCCCTACACACCCTCCTTCACTTTTTCTCCAGGCTGAATAAATCCAGCTCTCTTTCGTGTGGTCCAGTCCCCTAAAAATCCCAGTGGCCATCCTCTCCAGTTGTCAGTATTCATGAGGCTTCTGTCAGCCCATTTCTGCAGCTCATCAAGAACCTGCTGAAAGGCACGTTGACCTCTCCTGTACATCGCCCTCTCCTTCCAGTTTTGTGTTTTTTTTGCATATTTGTTTTTCTTTACAACATTGTGAAGTATCGGATGCTATTAATGCTCTAAACGTGCTGTTTTCCCAGAGGAAAGGTTGTTGCACAGAAATACTTCACAGCTTGTCTAAAATCATGTTGTTTGCTAGATGTGTATCTTTAATACTGGCCCCTATATCATAGGATTGTTTATTATCTAAATAAATGGCCTTTCTCATAGTGACAGCCACCAGGGTGGGGAAATAGGTTATAAAATGGTCAAGTTAGAAGGTTGTGCTCTTGGGTAAGCAGTGCCATGGCTTGCCTGAAGCTGAATAGAATAAGGACATCTAGTCTGTTGGTTTTGTGTAAAGTTCAGAATGTGTATGTCTTTAAATGTGAAGGTCAAACTGTTACGTCTTGGAGTTTGGAAAGCCTCTTCAGGAGTGATAGTTATTTTTGTATTTAAAAAGAAAGAGAGAGAATTCTGTTTAATCAAGGATATTTTTGTATTTAAAAAGAAAGAGAGAATTCTGTTTAGTCAAGGAAAAAATCCCTGGCTTTTAAAGTCTTCTTTGAAGAGGTTTCTATCTTTCTCACTTCCTAATGTTCCTCCAGCACCTATTTAGGGAATGTCTGAAGAAATGCAAACCCAAGATTTTGCTGTATGTGATTTGTTTATATTCAGACATTTTAATTTTTTTCCTTATTAAACAACAGGAGACAGACAGAAATAAAAAATCTACTGCCATTACCAAGCTCCAGCCAGAGCTACGTATACCAGTACAGCCCTATAGTACAGGCACAGAACCTCCCAAGAAAGATGCCTTCACTTCTACAGAGGGTTATGAAGAGCTGCTGAAAAAGAGACACCTGGGAGACAGATATCATAGGCTAGATGATGAGGCTGAAATAAGTAGACTGTTGCATAAAAAGATGGAAGACTTGGATGTTCCCGAGAGAAGACATCGTGCATTTGCTAGCCAATCTGGCATTCCTATTAGGAGGCATCACAGACTCGACGAAGATCATAGTTTTGATAGAAGGTTCTACAGAATGGACAATGATCCCGACATCAGTGAAGAAAAGGACTCTAGATTTAGATATGAAAGTGATTATGACAGAAGGCCTTCACGGTTTTTTTATGCTGAAAGGTATTTTTAATTAAGTTTTCTACTGTATTTCTGTAATGCTTCTTCTTAACAACTCTGATTTGTTCTTTTCAAAAATCACAAAACATTCACATGTCCATTTTCTGGACTTTTTTTTAAAAAAAGAAGCTTTGACATAGCTTTCAGGAAAAACATTTAAAACATTGTACCAGAATGTAAGAATGTACAGCATATAGTAGGTAGCATTTAAAATAATATAACAAACTGTGGATACTGGAGAAATTACACAAGAGAAGAAGCATACAAATTATTTAGATGAGTAGTTTGCCAGATTATTTTACAGTTTGTGGGGAAATACCTGTGGTAAAAGACCCAGATTACATGTATTTTCTCAGTATGCAATTGTTTCATCAAGTCAGTCTTAAATTGCAATTTCAAAACTAGTCTGAACTTCAATTTTTGATGCATAATGCCAGATGTTAGAAATCTTTAAAAATTTCTTTTAAGTTTATTTATTTACTGCATGTCTTTCAAGTCTTTGTAAATGGGCACTGTTGAGTAAAAGTCTGATGCTAATCTAATATGTAGACAACTGAATGAATGTTTAAGAAAACATTTAAGGATTTTAAACATTTTAAACAAAAATGAGGTGTTTTGTGGAAATCAATGCGAGGAAAACAGATAAGTATTTCTTTTAAATCCTCTTTTGTGTTTGCTGATGAAGCAAATTTATTCTTATTAAAGTTTCTATTCTAAGATCACTTTTTATAAAAATACATACACACCCCTTCCAAATCATTCCAGGTTTGGCTATCTGGCCACCTTCAAGTGTTTCACTGCAAGAACAGGTTGCTTTCAAAAATGAGGAGTGGATTTATGGTCTGAAATCATACAAAACTTGAAACAAATGGGTTTTGTCCAGCCAAAGTTAAATGAAGCAATGCAGTAAAGCTTATATGTAAATTTAACTATTTTTTCAGTTTTCAGATCCCAGAACAATGGAGTAGTATATTCTTTTCCTTCTCCTTTGCGATAAGGGTGTTACAAGAATCATTTCACCTTTGTTTCTTCAGTAAAAGAAATGGGATTTTCTTTAGCAGAAAGAGCTATTTTCCTGGAATTAACATTTATAGGAAAAAGAAAAGGAGGCAAGTTCTACCATTCTCAGCATTGTCAAATGCCACAGCCAGGTTTCATTGCTAATTACTGGTGAAATAGCTGGCTGATCTTTGAGTTGTCTGCTTACGTAAATAAATTCTGGATAGTACTGCAAATTAAAAAAAATAAAACAGCACAAAGCCTAAAATGTCTTTCTACTAGAAAGGCCTTTTCTAGGTGGTGTGAAGCCATATTTCATTCCATATTTCATTCCCAGTAGAGCACTATAACTATTCTAGAAAATCTAAGAAGGAATATTGAAAGATTTTCATAATGGTAAACAGCTAAACTTCCCTTAGCAACACCTCCACCAAGAAATTAAACAAGTGTTTACAACAACAAAATATCTGGAAGCATTTGGGAAGTATAGACTGTAAGTGCATTATTTCAGAATTTCAAATTGTATGTTCAGAAACGCTTCTTAAAAGCACATATTTATTCATAACGTTTCTGAAAA